TGTATTTCCCCACGAACTGCCTTAGAGAAGGGTATAGTTTCTTAAAGAGAAAAGAAGCTATATTTACCTCTTGGACATCGCATATATTTACGAAAGGATTCCCTGTGCCGTGTCGTTGTTATAGAGTAAATTAAGAAGGCTTTACTCTATAACACCATATTTAAGCCGTCTCTTTATCTGAATTCTTTATCGGTCCATCCCTTACTTCCAGCCAGCAACCCGGATGGGTTGGTCTGCCCAGGCTTTAGGTGCCTGAAGGACGCCCTCCCCTTGATCCATACTTTCGGAGCATATAGCCTTTTCCTCCGGTGCGTTTAAACCAGCGGTTCGGCTAGTGTGTCCCCACTAAAAGACCTGATCGCTCGGTTCTCCAATCTCGGGCCCCGGTTCAAATTCAGCCTTCATGTAGTACCGTCGAAGATTACTGCTATCTCCCAACTCGGGACTTCCCAAATGGGCTTCAATCTCTGGTTCTGTGCCCTGTGCCAAGCATAGCCTACAGATTATAGCCTTCCGGAATCACCTCAACAGTACCGTCTCAACAGATCCTCCATAGGCCAACCTTAGTGAAGATCGTCACAGACTTTTTCCTATATCACAAAAGTGTCGTCTCTGGATTTGAACATGGAACCTAGCCATAACATTTGAATAGGGTGACAACTAGACCACTTCACACCTCTTAATATATTAATATATATACCATATAGCTGCGAAATAACGCACATGGGCGTTATTTTGAAATTTGACCCCCTTTAAAAATGCTAAATTTGGATCGAAATAACGCGCACCCACTAATCATGAGCCAAATCACGTGATAAATCAGTTAGTTTACTATAAAAGTGATTCTAATCATGATAGTACTTTTAACTTCTTACTCTAGCACTCATTTAAGACACCTTTTTTATAGTTTTGTATATAAAATATTAAATATTTCGTATTAATAACGCATCAGATTTTTTAGTTTGTGTAGATATTAGTGGCCCGGTTTATTATTATATAAATTGTAACCAAATAAGTTTTTCAATACACACTTTAGTCTGTTATAAGAAAGTTTAACAAATTTATACTAAATCTATTGAATCCTTTTTGGCATTAGAACTGGAAATGATAAGTTTGCATTTTTTTTTGCTAATTTATTTCTATTATTTTAGCTGACCGAGCCTTGAATCGTGTGTCTTTAGGTTCAGAATTGAATATAAATTTTACCACTGATTAAAAAAAAAAATTATGGTTATGTAATCATTAATAAGCATTTAAGAACCGTTGCTTAAAGTTAGGTAAGCAGAATGAAAATGCTAATAATAATAATAAAAAAAAAAGGCTTTACTTACTAACCTATCAATCTATATTGCTTCATCAATATCCATTGCACTCTCATCATCCTCACTATTTGTCAAATTACTATTATCACTTACATCGTCCTCATTATTGCTATCATCCTCATCGTTCTCATTATCCGGTAAATTTTCAACACCTAATTCATTTTCATCTTCACACAATTCATCCATATTAGCCTCATCCATACGATTATTGACAATAGCTTGGAGACGGTTCAACATTTTATAGTCTTCGCTACTATCAGAGTTGAATACAAGCCCGGATGCTTCAAAAGATTTAGCCAAAAGGCTTGTACTAATTCCTTTCCATGTATTGGATACCTATTTGCAAATCAACTTGTATGATGCTTTCTTACGGTTTTCTTTTGTGGTAAACTCTCTTTCCCCTTCATCAATCCATTCATCACATCTTCTTCTAATTCCATTTTTAAAAGGTCTATTTACTAAAACGTCTGGTGGTTGCAAAATGCAAGTTGTACTGCCGGGTATTTCTAAGACATCCAAGCCTTCGTTGTTCAATGCTTTAACTACATCATCTTGTACGTGACTACGATGTCCATCAACGAAAATTATACCTTTGCTTTTGAAAAACCCTTCTGGCCTTGCTTGAATAACTTTTGGAATGTAAGTGGAGATCATCAGGTTTGCTCGCATGTTCGCGCAGGGTGCCGTTACTAAAACAATATTTCGTGGAAATTTTTCTTTTGGCTTTTTTTTAATTTAAAGATTACTGCTGGCGGAAGCTTTTCTCCAGAAGCTGTAAAATCTAACACTACTGTAAAACGTAGTTTATTATTTCTAGTGCTTCTGATTGCTACATCACGAATACCTTAAAAATCAAACGTTGAACTTCGAGGTATGTCAAACCAGATCGGTGTTTCGTCAAAAGAGATGATAAATTTTTTTCCAATGTTTTTTGTTGCTTCGCGTGAAATTTAAAGAAATCTACTAACGACCAACGGCATATCTTTAGGGAACTTTTGAGCAGTTTGTATTCGAGCATGTTCTACTAAATTATGCCGTTTTCTGAAACGTTTAATCCAGCTACGAGAACACTTGGCTTCAATGTTTAGGCTTTCCTTTAATTCCTTTGCCTTTTTTTCTATCATGTGGGTTGTAACAGGAATCTTTTCTTCCTATTTTTTTTTGATATAATCCACTAGTTTTTTTTCTAAATCAGAGTATTTGGCTTTCCTACCACGACCATCAAGTACCTGCACCTGGTTTATATTTAGGTTTTGGTTGTTTTTAATGGCTTCAAGCTCCAGCTTTTGCTGCTTCCACTCCTGAACCTGCCTACAATCAATCTTAAAAAACAACGACACATGACGGTTGGATGAGGATTCTGCATATAATATTACCTTTAGCTTAAATGAGATAGTGTAGCTTCGTTTTTTGTTCGCGTCTATTAGGTAAAGTAAAAATTAAACAAAATCTGCTTGTTGATTTAAAGGTATACAGCAAACACGTCAGGGTACTTTATCATGTATTACAATATTATTTAAAAAAAAATTTTTTTTTAAAAAAAAAATTTTTTTGCACGATTTGGACAAGTAGTCTTAAAATCAGGTTTTAAAAAAATTAAAATTGAAAAATCGTAATGAAATTTAATCTAGTGGTTGGAGCCATCACGGCATAGAGTAAGGTATTATAATAAAACTGTTTTTTTTTTTATTTTTTTATTTTTTTTAATAGTATTTAGCATTCTGTGTGCTATTATCCTTTAAATTTCTTTTGCGATTCAGAATAGATTTTACATTCGTTCAATTTTATTGATTCGAGGTTTTAAAAGAAAATTTTTTTTCTGTTATATATGCCTATCAATTTTTAGTTGTGTCTAATTTGGCTAGTAGGCGTTGCAGATCAGAAGGCTAAGTATATATAAGGTATCAATGCATATAAAGATTAATTTTAAGTAACACCTTTTTGTATATCATTATTGACATCTAAATCAGGCTTTTACACCAATATTATATAATTAATTAATTAGTTGTTCGCATAAGCACTGCACCCATGTGCGTTATTTTGAAACCACCTGTTTTGGAAAATCAATCTTTTGTTTCGAAATAACGCACATGGGCGTCCCGAAATAACGCGCATGTGAATAAAATAACGCGCAGGGGTGCATTATTTCGTGGCTATACGGTACTGTATGCTACATATAAATAACTATAATGTGAGGTGTGGCAACTTAGTGTAGTGGTCTAGTCATCACTCTCTCCAAGTGGCAGGTCTAGAGTTCAAATCCCACGGACGACGAATTTTGAAAAATAGCCTGTGTTATGGTTTACAGTTGTCGATTGTCGGTTGGATCTAGAAATCTGTAATCTCGGTCATACCATCTAGTTATGGAAGCTTTGGCGCAATAAATCTGAGGAAT